GATGGCATGGGACCAGGGCAGGTGGAGCTTTCAGAACTGGAGTCCCCGGGTCGTAATGCCTGAGGGGCAGGCGCTGTGCGCGACCCTCTTTCCCAGAGACAGATTGATTTTGGAATGGACTTCTGAGGAACAGATTTAAATTTCATCTGGCAAGACTTGCAGTGTGATTATAGACATTTCATAGGGAAACACATTAAATCTTAGCAAGACCCTATGTGACCTTGAACAAATAAATCAGGAATTACTAGGTTAGTGAAATGGGGGCCACTTAAATTGGCAAATTTAGGTCCTCCAGATTTATTTACATATTCTATATTATTTATTTTGTAGTAAGTGGCATTTAAAAACTTACATGGTCTGTGATTGTATCAAATGATTTTGAACTAAGATGATTACATGCTTAGTAATGCAGAAAAGAAAAAAATGAGTGCGGAAAGGGAATATTCAGATTTTAATGGCGTGGTGGTGCACCCCTACACGCTGTGCCAGCTATCAAAAGGCTGGGGCAGGAGGGTCGCTGCAACTTTGAGGCCAGCCTGGAATGCTCAGACCCTGTCTCAAAAAAAAAAAACAAAACAAATGAGATTTCTACTTTTTAACGCTGATTGGTGCATAAGCAGACGCCCTGTGCCCAGCCTCCATGTGCTGTGACCTTGGGCCACAGGGTGTGGGGGACAGCGGGCGCTGAGCTCGCTTGGCACAGCCCTGACTTCTGTATCTCCACTAAGCAGTCCGGTGCTCCTCCTTAGGTAAGGGGCTCCTTTGTGAGGACAGGAGTGCGAACTCTGAGGCATGAGGGGTCCCCTTCCCAGTGAGCGTCCTGCATTTCTGCTTGGCTTTTCTTCCATCATGTGAGGTCTCCCATGTGTTTGCAGGTTACACCCTGGCCCCCAGCTGGAGCGTGGACAACTTCTCCGACTCTGGCCCCAGCGAGATCTCCTCTAGGTCCGGTATGGTCAGAAACTCCTCCTTGGACTCGGTGCCCATGGCCCTGCAGGAGGAGCGGAGGCAGCAGCACTCCGTGAGCCTGGTGGAGATCGGCCTGGGCGTTGTCAGGGCAGAGCAGCAGACAGTGCTAGAGCCAGACCAGTACAGCCTGGGGTGGGTGCCCTTCCTGCACCCGCCTCCTCGCCCTGCTGCCCCTCACCACCTGGCCCTGTGGGTGCCCGCGCCAAGGGCCCCATGGGACAACCCCATCCTGGACCCTCCTTGAGTACTCGTGGCTCCTTCTCCACAAACCATGCCGACCTCCTGGCCCTCGTGGACCTGCGGACTGCCCTGTCCCCTACCACAGAGTGAGGCAGAGGCTCACAGTCAGCTCCTCCTGTCCCTCCCTCCCCACAGGTCCTATGCAGCCATGGCCCTGGCCCAGGACGTGTTTGCCACAGCCATGGTGCTCTCGCAGGACCAGGGCTATTGCACGTCCCTGGATGCCGCCAACAGTGGCCATGGGAGCTGGACTTCATGCTCCAGTGACTCGCACAACAACATCCAGACCATCCAGCACCTGAGGAGCTGGGAGACCCCACTGTTCGGGCCTGTGCTCTGCGATTACCCCGGGGACCCCATGGGGCCCTGGGCCAACAGGGGCCACCTGGACCACTTGATTTTTGCCGAGGATGGCCAGAAGGGCGACAGACAGAACCCAATCGAAGAAAGCCTGGAGCAGGCGCAGTCCAGGGCCCGCTGGGCCTCTCCCACTGGCTCCAAGGACATGTCCCTTGAGGCCGAGAATGGCAGCAGCCTGGCGCCCGCGCCCACAGAGGAGCCCAAGGCTGGCCCTGTGCCAGCCCTCAGGGTGGCCACCTCGAGCGCTACCAAGGGGCTGGTCGGTAAGTCTGGGGGGACTCCTCAGACCTCATCCTCCCAAGCCCAGGTTGTGTGCATGTGCATGTGGCCTCGAGATGCTGCTCTGCTGTCCTAGGCTGCCCAGGGCACCCAGCGTGGAAGTGGGTGGGGGACACGGCTGTGCTAGCAGTGGTGAGCCGGCTCTGTGCCTGAGTGTTTCTCAGGTCAGTGCCTCGAACCGAGCTGGCTTCAGCCATGTCAGTAGCAGGCCTCGGAGCCTGCCCGCAGGCATGCCGGCCATGGGCACAGCTCTGCCTCACCGAGCTCCCACTTCTGCAAGTTTCAGGCACTGGAAATACGGACAGAGCTCGCAGGTTAATGAAATTATACCTCATCTTTTTCCTTAAAAACAGCGCATTCATTGGTTTACCCTTCTCAAATAGATGCACTACAGAACAAGCTTTCATAAAGTGTGCCCACTATTTCTTCTGCCTGTCTGTGGAAGGAAGTAACCTGAACAGAAATAAGGAATGTTTTTACCAGGGTACAGCAGGCTGGCTTAGAGGCGCTGGGCCTTGGGTGAGGTCCCTCGGTCTCTGTGCTGGGCGCTGTTGGCTGACCTCCATCCTCCCTGAGGCGGCTCGGAGGAGTGTGGTCGAGGTACCCTGCCCCTCTGTGCGGAGGGCGCCATGTGTGAAGTGCTGACACTCTGCTGAGGCCCTGCCAGCCTGAGGCGACTGCCTGCTGGCCTGTAGCTTTGGTGCACTTGGAGTTTTCACACCGCTGTGCCTGATTGTATCGCTTCTTCCCCAGAGACGCCATTTAGAGTGCAGAAGGCTGCTTACATGAGATGGCATGCTGGCAGGAAGGGGGGACATGGTTTGGGGCTGTTCTTCCTTTCTGGAAATCTCTCTGCTTGTCAGCTCTGAGGGAGTTTGAGGACGCCCCATAGTACTATGAGAAGCTTTGTAAAGTGTCTCCCATACTCCTGGAGAATAATCAAGGGGTCACTTTGTGTCTACCCACGCACCCTTCCCGGCCAGGCCCATGCACCCTGGGAGCCGCCCTCCTGGCTTCTGTGGAAGAGGCAGCTAGTTTCCTCTTCCTCTGTGGACTGAGTACATTACTGATGAGGACCCTTGGTGCTGTATCCTGCCTCCCCCATCCGCTCAGTGTCTCTGGGCCCTCTGCTTTTCTCCTGGTGTTCCCCTTTCCCCAGAGCTGAACTGCCCCGTAGTAGCAAATACCTGCTTCCAACCCAAGCTGGAGTTGAAGTGACCCCACTGAGCCCCGAATTCAGATGTTCACATATTGTCCACTTAATCTTGGTTGTTGCCAAGCACATGGTTATGGTGTCAGAGGTTTGGAATTTAAAACATCCACAGCCACCTCTTGGCCCTGGGAATCGGAAGTCTGAGCACAGGCATCTCTGCCTCCTCCACCTGTTCTCATATCGTGACGGTACAAGGAATATCCAGTTGTAAATATGTGGAACCTTACAGTAGCACTGAGTTTCAATACAGCCCTTTAGTTGTTAGAAGTTTTTAGTTATTTGCTTATTTTTGTAGGCATAAACTCTCCGCAAGCTTTAAAGAAGATCCTCTCGCTGTCTGAAGAAGGCAGTCTGGAGCGCCACCCAAAGCAGGCGGAGGACATGCTGTCCAGCGCGTCCTCCAAGCTCTTGTCTTCACCCACATCCCCGCAGAGCTCGCCCAAGAAAGGTAGGGCTGTAGTGGTGGGCTTAGGCGCTGCCCTCTGCAGTTACAGAATTTTTTGCTGATTTCATAGGTTTTAATCTGCTCAGGGTGCCTTCACAGTCAGGGGCCTTCCCTCATTTTAAGCATTGGGAAGAATTTTTGTATTTCTTTTTAATATTACAGTATGTCAGATTTATCAGTTACACAGTCCTTTTAAACATCCATTTGCCTTTTTATTAATCCTAAATGTGGGAAGAATTCTTTCTATGTAAACATTCGTTCTTGTGTGACTGACGTTAGTACAGGGAGGAAGACTGTAGGGCCGAGCACCTGGTGTGTGTCTGTCGGGGTGGCTGGGCCTTGGTCCCCTTCCCCTACCCATGGGCCTGGCCCTTGATCCTCCCCCTTGGGTGGTGGCAGCCAAGGCTGTGCCCCACTGTCACTTGTAGAGTCCCGGAGCGGCTCACGTATGGCCAGGCTTCACTGTGGCCTCTGAGTGCCAGATCTGGGTGGGGGCTACGTCTGCGCTGTCCCTGTGTCCTGCGGTCAGTGGCAGTGGCGCTCAGCTGAGGCACTTTGACTCTGGGCAGCTGGACTTCGCTGGTTCCTCTTCTTTCCCGGGAAGTGAGCACCGCCAGCTGTAGGATGGCATGGGACCAGGGCAGGTGGAGCTTTCAGAACTGGAGTCCCCGGGTCGTAATGCCTGAGGGGCAGGCGCTGTGCGCGACCCTCTTTCCCAGAGACAGATTGATTTTGGAATGGACTTCTGAGGAACAGATTTAAATTTCATCTGGCAAGACTTGCAGTGTGATTATAGACATTTCATAGGTAAACACATTAAATCTTAGCAAGACCCTATGTGACCTTGAACTAATAAATCAGGAATTACTAGTTTAGTGAAATGGGGGCCACTTAAATTGGCAAATTTAGGTCCTCCAGATTTATTTACATATTCTATATTATTTATTTTGTAGTAAGTGGCCTTTAAAAACTTACATGGTCTGTGATTGTATCAAATGATTTTGAACTAAGATGATTACATGCTTAGTAATGCAGAAAAGAAAAAAATGAGTGCGGAAAAGGAATATTCAGATTTTAATGGCGTGGTGGTGCACCCCTACACTCTGTGCCAGCTATCAAAAGGCTGGGGCAGGAGGGTCGCTGCAACTTTGAGGCCAGCCTGGAATGCTCAGACCCTGTCTCAAAAAAAACAAAACAAATGAGATTTCTACTTTTTAACGCTGATTGGTGCATAAGCAGACGCCCTGTGCCCAGCCTCCATGTGCTGTGACCTTGGGCCACAGGGTGTGGGGGACAGCGGGCGCTGAGCTCGCTTGGCACAGCCCTGACTTCTGTATCTCCACTAAGCAGTCCGGTGCTCCTCCTTAGGTAAGGGGCTCCTTTGTTAGGACAGGAGTGCGAACTCTGAGGCATGAGGGGTCCCCTTCCCAGTGAGCGTCCTGCATTTCTGCTTGGCTTTTCTTCCATCATGTGAGGTCTCCTATGTGTTTGCAGGTTACACCCTGGCCCCCAGCTGGAGCGTGGACAACTTCTCCGACTCTGGCCACAGCGAGATCTCCTCTAGGTCCGGTATGGTCAGAAACTCCTCCTTGGACTCGGTGCCCATGGCCCTGCAGGAGGAGCGGAGGCAGCAGCACTCCGTGAGCCTGGTGGAGATCGGCCTGGGCGTTGTCAGGGCAGAGCAGCAGACAGTGCTAGAGCCAGACCAGTACAGCCTGGGGTGGGTGCCCTTCCTGCACCCGCCTCCTCGCCCTGCTGCCCCTCACCACCTGGCCCTCTGGGTGCCCGCGCCAAGGGCCCCATGGGACAACCCCATCCTGGACCCTCCTTGAGTACTCGTGGCTCCTTCTCCACAAACCATGCCGACCTCCTGGCCCTCGTGGACCTGCGGACTGCCCTGTCCCCTACCACAGAGTGAGGCAGAGGCTCACAGTCAGCTCCTCCTGTCCCGCCCTCCCCACAGGTCCTATGCAGCCATGGCCCTGGCCCAGGACGTGTTTGCCACAGCCATGGTGCTCTCGCAGGACCAGGGCTATTGCACGTCCCTGGATGCCGCCAACAGTGGCCATGGGAGCTGGACCTCATGCTCCAGTGACTCGCACAACAACATCCAGACCATCCAGCACCTGAGGAGCTGGGAGACCCCACTGTTCGGGCCTGTGCTCTGCGATTACCCCGGGGACCCCATGGGGCCCTGGGCCAGCAGGGGCCACCTGGACCACTTGATTTTTGCCGAGGATGGCCAGAAGGGCGACAGACAGATCCCAATCGAAGAAAGCCTGGAGCAGGCGCAGTCCAGGGCCCGCTGGGCCTCTCCCACTGGCTGCAAGGACATGTCCCTTGAGGCCGAGAATGGCAGCAGCCTGGCGCCCGCGCCCACAGAGGAGCCCAAGGCTGGCCCTGTGCCAGCCCTCAGGGTGGCCACCTCGAGCGCTACCAAGGGGCTGGTCGGTAAGTCTGGGGGGACTCCTCAGACCTCATCCTCCCAAGCCCAGGTTGTGTGCATGCGCATGTGCCCTCGAGATGCTGCTCTGCTGTCCTAGGCTGCCCAGGGCACCCAGCGTGGAAGTGGGTGGGGGACACGGCTGTGGTAGCAGTGGTGAGCCGGCTCTGTGCCTGAGTGTTTCTCAGGTCAGTGCCTCGAACCGAGCTGGCTTCAGCCATGTCAGTAGCAGGCCTCGGAGCCTGCCTGCAGGCATGCCGGCCGTGGGCACAGCTCTGCCTCACCGAGCTCCCACTTCTGCAAGTTTCAGGCACTGGAAATACGGACAGAGCTCGCAGGTTAATGAAATTATACCTCATCTTTTTCCTTAAAAACAGCGCATTCATTGGTTTACCCTTCTCAAATAGATGCACCACAGAACAAGCTTTCATAAAGTGTGCCCACTATTTCTTCTGCCTGTCTGTGGAAGGAAGTAACCTGAACAGAAATAAGGAATGTTTTTACCAGGGTACAGCAGGCTGGCTTAGACGCGCTGGGCCTTGGGTGAGGTCCCTCGGTCTCTGTGCTGGGCGCTGTTGGCTGACCTCCATCCTCCCTGAGGCGGCTCGGAGGAGTGTGGTCGAGGTACCCTGCCCCTCTGTGCGGAGGGCGCCATGTGTGAAGTGCTGACACTCTGCTGAGGCCCTGCCAGCCTGAGGCGACTCCCTGCTGGCCTGTAGCTTTGGTGCACTTGGAGTTTTCACACCGCTGTGCCTGATAGTATCGCTTCTTCCCCAGAGACGCCGTGTAGAGTGCAGAAGGCTGCTTACATGAGATGGCATGCTGGCAGGAAGGGGACATGGTTTGGGGCTGTTCTTCCTTTCTGGAAATCTCTCTGCTTGTCAGCTCTGAGGGAGTTTGAGGATGCCCCATAGTACTATGAGAAGCTTTGTAAAGTGTCTCCCATACTCCTGGAGAATAATCAAGGGGTCACTTTGTGTCTACCCACGCACCCTTCCCGGCCAGGCCCATGCACCCTGGGAGCCGCCCTCCTGGCTTCTGTGGAAGAGGCAGCTAGTTTCCTCTTCCTCTGTGGACTGAGTACATTACTGATGAGGACCCTTGGTGCTGTATCCTGCCTCCCCCATCCGCTCCGTGTCTCTGGGCCCTCTGCTTTTCTCCTGGTGTTCCCCTTTCCCCAGAGCTGAACTGCCCCGTAGTAGCAAATACCTGCTTCCAACCCAAGCTGGAGTTGAAGTGACCCCACTGAGCCCCGAATTCAGATGTTCACATATTGTCCACTTAATCTTGGTTGTTGCCAAGCACATGGTTATGGTGTCAGAGGTTTGGAATTTAAAACATCCACAGCCACCTCTTGGCCCTGGGAATCGGAAGTCTGAGCACAGGCATCTCTGCCTCCTCCACCTGTTCTCATATCGTGACGGTACAAGGAATATCCAGTTGTAAATATGTGGAACCTTACAGTAGCACTGAGTTTCAATACAGCCCTTTAGTTGTTAGAAGTTTTTAGTTCTTTGCTTATTTTTGTAGGCATAAACTCTCCGCAAGCTTTAAAGAAGATCCTCTCGCTGTCTGAAGAAGGCAGTCTGGAGCGCCACCCAAAGCAGGCGGAGGACATGCTGTCCAGCGCGTCCTCCAAGCTCTTGTCTTCACCCACATCCCCGCAGAGCTCGCCCAGGAAAGGTAGGGCTGCAATGGTGGGCTTAGGCGCTGCCCTCTGCAGTCATAGAATTTCTTGCTGATTTCACAGGTTTTAATCTGCTCAGGGTGCCTTCACAGTCAGGGGCCTTCCCTCATTTTAAGCATTGGGAAGAATTTTTGTATTTCTTTTTAATATTACAGTATGTCAGATTTATCAGTTACACAGTCCTTTTAAACATCCATTTGCCTTTTTATTAATCCTAAATGTGGGAAGAATTCTTTCTATGTAAACATTCGTTCTTGTGTGACTGACGTTAGTACAGGGAGGAAGACTGTAGGGCCGAGCACCTGGTGTGTGTCTGTCGGGGTGGCTGGGCCTTGGTCCCCTTCCCCTACCCATGGGCCTGGCCCTTGATCCTCCCCCTTGGGTGGTGGCAGCCAAGGCTGTGCCCCACTGTCACTTGTAGAGTCCCGGAGCGGCTCACGTATGGCCAGGCTTCACTGTGGCCTCTGAGTGCCAGATCTGGGTGGGGGCTACGTCTGCGCTGTCCCTGTGTCCTGCGGTCAGTGGCAGTGGCGCTCAGCTGAGGCACTTTGACTCTGGGCAGCTGGACTTCGCTGGTTCCTCTTCTTTCCCGGGAAGTGAGCACCGCCAGCTGTAGGATGGCATGGGACCAGGGCAGGTGGAGCTTTCAGAACTGGAGTCCCCGGGTCGTAATGCCTGAGGGGCAGGCGCTGTGCGCGACCCTCTTTCCCAGAGACAGATTGATTTTGGAATGGACTTCTGAGGAACAGATTTAAATTTCATCTGGCAAGACTTGCAGTGTGATTATAGACATTTCATAGGTAAACACATTAAATCTTAGCAAGACCCTATGTGACCTTGAACTAATAAATCAGGAATTACTAGTTTAGTGAAATGGGGGCCACTTAAATTGGCAAATTTAGGTCCTCCAGATTTATTTACATATTCTATATTATTTATTTTGTAGTAAGTGGCCTTTAAAAACTTACATGGTCTGTGATTGTATCAAATGATTTTGAACTAAGATGATTACATGCTTGGTAATGCAGAAAAGAAAAAAATGAGTGCGGAAAAGGAATATTCAGATTTTAATGGCGTGGTGGTGCACCCCTACACTCTGTGCCAGCTATCAAAAGGCTGGGGCAGGAGGGTCGCTGCAACTTTGAGGCCAGCCTGGAATGCTCAGACCCTGTCTCAAAAAAAACAAAACAAATGAGATTTCTACTTTTTAACGCTGATTGGTGCATAAGCAGACGCCCTGTGCCCAGCCTCCATGTGCTGTGACCTTGGGCCACAGGGTGTGGGGGACAGCGGGCGCTGAGCTCGCTTGGCACAGCCCTGACTTCTGTATCTCCACTAAGCAGTCCGGTGCTCCTCCTTAGGTAAGGGGCTCCTTTGTTAGGACAGGAGTGCGAACTCTGAGGCATGAGGGGTCCCCTTCCCAGTGAGCGTCCTGCATTTCTGCTTGGCTTTTCTTCCATCATGTGAGGTCTCCTATGTGTTTGCAGGTTACACCCTGGCCCCCAGCTGGAGCGTGGACAACTTCTCCGACTCTGGCCACAGCGAGATCTCCTCTAGGTCCGGTATGGTCAGAAACTCCTCCTTGGACTCGGTGCCCATGGCCCTGCAGGAGGAGCGGAGGCAGCAGCACTCCGTGAGCCTGGTGGAGATCGGCCTGGGCGTTGTCAGGGCAGAGCAGCAGACAGTGCTAGAGCCAGACCAGTACAGCCTGGGGTGGGTGCCCTTCCTGCACCCGCCTCCTCGCCCTGCTGCCCCTCACCACCTGGCCCTCTGGGTGCCCGCGCCAAGGGCCCCATGGGACAACCCCATCCTGGACCCTCCTTGAGTACTCGTGGCTCCTTCTCCACAAACCATGCCGACCTCCTGGCCCTCGTGGACCTGCGGACTGCCCTGTCCCCTACCACAGAGTGAGGCAGAGGCTCACAGTCAGCTCCTCCTGTCCCGCCCTCCCCACAGGTCCTATGCAGCCATGGCCCTGGCCCAGGACGTGTTTGCCACAGCCATGGTGCTCTCGCAGGACCAGGGCTATTGCACGTCCCTGGATGCCGCCAACAGTGGCCATGGGAGCTGGACCTCATGCTCCAGTGACTCGCACAACAACATCCAGACCATCCAGCACCTGAGGAGCTGGGAGACCCCACTGTTCGGGCCTGTGCTCTGCGATTACCCCGGGGACCCCATGGGGCCCTGGGCCAGCAGGGGCCACCTGGACCACTTGATTTTTGCCGAGGATGGCCAGAAGGGCGACAGACAGATCCCAATCGAAGAAAGCCTGGAGCAGGCGCAGTCCAGGGCCCGCTGGGCCTCTCCCACTGGCTGCAAGGACATGTCCCTTGAGGCCGAGAATGGCAGCAGCCTGGCGCCCGCGCCCACAGAGGAGCCCAAGGCTGGCCCTGTGCCAGCCCTCAGGGTGGCCACCTCGAGCGCTACCAAGGGGCTGGTCGGTAAGTCTGGGGGGACTCCTCAGACCTCATCCTCCCAAGCCCAGGTTGTGTGCATGCGCATGTGCCCTCGAGATGCTGCTCTGCTGTCCTAGGCTGCCCAGGGCACCCAGCGTGGAAGTGGGTGGGGGACACGGCTGTGGTAGCAGTGGTGAGCCGGCTCTGTGCCTGAGTGTTTCTCAGGTCATTGCCTCGAACCGAGCTGGCTTCAGCCATGTCAGTAGCAGGCCTCGGAGCCTGCCTGCAGGCATGCCGGCCGTGGGCACAGCTCTGCCTCACCGAGCTCCCACTTCTGCAAGTTTCAGGCACTGGAAATACGGACAGAGCTCGCAGGTTAATGAAATTATACCTCATCTTTTTCCTTAAAAACAGCGCATTCATTGGTTTACCCTTCTCAAATAGATGCACCACAGAACAAGCTTTCATAAAGTGTGCCCACTATTTCTTCTGCCTGTCTGTGGAAGGAAGTAACCTGAACAGAAATAAGGAATGTTTTTACCAGGGTACAGCAGGCTGGCTTAGACGCGCTGGGCCTTGGGTGAGGTCCCTCGGTCTCTGTGCTGGGCGCTGTTGGCTGACCTCCATCCTCCCTGAGGCGGCTCGGAGGAGTGTGGTCGAGGTACCCTGCCCCTCTGTGCGGAGGGCGCCATGTGTGAAGTGCTGACACTCTGCTGAGGCCCTGCCAGCCTGAGGCGACTCCCTGCTGGCCTGTAGCTTTGGTGCACTTGGAGTTTTCACACCGCTGTGCCTGATAGTATCGCTTCTTCCCCAGAGACGCCGTGTAGAGTGCAGAAGGCTGCTTACATGAGATGGCATGCTGGCAGGAAGGGGACATGGTTTGGGGCTGTTCTTCCTTTCTGGAAATCTCTCTGCTTGTCAGCTCTGAGGGAGTTTGAGGATGCCCCATAGTACTATGAGAAGCTTTGTAAAGTGTCTCCCATACTCCTGGAGAATAATCAAGGGGTCACTTTGTGTCTACCCACGCACCCTTCCCGGCCAGGCCCATGCACCCTGGGAGCCGCCCTCCTGGCTTCTGTGGAAGAGGCAGCTAGTTTCCTCTTCCTCTGTGGACTGAGTACATTACTGATGAGGACCCTTGGTGCTGTATCCTGCCTCCCCCATCCGCTCCGTGTCTCTGGGCCCTCTGCTTTTCTCCTGGTGTTCCCCTTTCCACAGAGCTGAACTGCCCCGTAGTAGCAAATACCTGCTTCCAACCCAAGCTGGAGTTGAAGTGACCCCACTGAGCCCCGAATTCAGATGTTCACATATTGTCCACTTAATCTTGGTTGTTGCCAAGCACATGGTTATGGTGTCAGAGGTTTGGAATTTAAAACATCCACAGCCACCTCTTGGCCCTGGGAATCGGAAGTCTGAGCACAGGCATCTCTGCCTCCTCCACCTGTTCTCATATCGTGACGGTACAAGGAATATCCAGTTGTAAATATGTGGAACCTTACAGTAGCACTGAGTTTCAATACAGCCCTTTAGTTGTTAGAAGTTTTTAGTTCTTTGCTTATTTTTGTAGGCATAAACTCTCCGCAAGCTTTAAAGAAGATCCTCTCGCTGTCTGAAGAAGGCAGTCTGGAGCGCCACCCAAAGCAGGCGGAGGACATGCTGTCCAGCGCGTCCTCCAAGCTCTTGTCTTCACCCACATCCCCGCAGAGCTCGCCCAGGAAAGGTAGGGCTGCAATGGTGGGCTTAGGCGCTGCCCTCTGCAGTCATAGAATTTCTTGCTGATTTCACAGGTTTTAATCTGCTCAGGGTGCCTTCACAGTCAGGGGCCTTCCCTCATTTTAAGCATTGGGAAGAATTTTTGTATTTCTTTTTAATATTACAGTATGTCAGATTTATCAGTTACACAGTCCTTTTAAACATCCATTTGCCTTTTTATTAATCCTAAATGTGGGAAGAATTCTTTCTATGTAAACATTCGTTCTTGTGTGACTGACGTTAGTACAGGGAGGAAGACTGTAGGGCCGAGCACCTGGTGTGTGTCTGTCGGGGTGGCTGGGCCTTGGTCCCCTTCCCCTACCCATGGGCCTGGCCCTTGATCCTCCCCCTTGGGTGGTGGCAGCCAAGGCTGTGCCCCACTGTCACTTGTAGAGTCCCGGAGCGGCTCACGTATGGCCAGGCTTCACTGTGGCCTCTGAGTGCCAGATCTGGGTGGGGGCTACGTCTGCGCTGTCCCTGTGTCCTGCGGTCAGTGGCAGTGGCGCTCAGCTGAGGCACTTTGACTCTGGGCAGCTGGACTTCGCTGGTTCCTCTTCTTTCCCGGGAAGTGAGCACCGCCAGCTGTAGGATGGCATGGGACCAGGGCAGGTGGAGCTTTCAGAACTGGAGTCCCCGGGTCGTAATGCCTGAGGGGCAGGCGCTGTGCGCGACCCTCTTTCCCAGAGACAGATTGATTTTGGAATGGACTTCTGAGGAACAGATTTAAATTTCATCTGGCAAGACTTGCAGTGTGATTATAGACATTTCATAGGGAAACACATTAAATCTTAGCAAGACCCTATGTGACCTTGAACAAATAAATCAGGAATTACTAGTTTAGTGAAATGGGGGCCACTTAAATTGGCAAATTTAGGTCCTCCAGATTTATTTACATATTCTATATTATTTATTTTGTAGTAAGTGGCCTTTAAAAACTTACATGGTCTGTGATTGTATCAAATGATTTTGAACTAAGATGATTACATGCTTAGTAATGCAGAAAAGAAAAAAATGAGTGCGGAAAAGGAATATTCAGATTTTAATGGCGTGGTGGTGCACCCCTACACTCTGTGCCAGCTATCAAAAGGCTGGGGCAGGAGGGTCGCTGCAACTTTGAGGCCAGCCTGGAATGCTCAGACCCTGTCTCAAAAAAAACAAAACAAATGAGATTTCTACTTTTTAACGCTGATTGGTGCATAAGCAGACGCCCTGTGCCCAGCCTCCATGTGCTGTGACCTTGGGCCACAGGGTGTGGGGGACAGCGGGCGCTGAGCTTGCTTGGCACAGCCCTGACTTCTGTATCTCCACTAAGCAGTCCGGTGCTCCTCCTTAGGTAAGGGGCTCCTTTGTTAGGACAGGAGTGCGAACTCTGAGGCATGAGGGGTCCCCTTCCCAGTGAGCGTCCTGCATTTCTGCTTGGCTTTTCTTCCATCATGTGAGGTCTCCTATGTGTTTGCAGGTTACACCCTGGCCCCCAGCTGGAGCGTGGACAACTTCTCCGACTCTGGCCACAGCGAGATCTCCTCTAGGTCCGGTATGGTCAGAAACTCCTCCTTGGACTCGGTGCCCATGGCCCTGCAGGAGGAGCGGAGGCAGCAGCACTCCGTGAGCCTGGTGGAGATCGGCCTGGGCGTTGTCAGGGCAGAGCAGCAGACAGTGCTAGAGCCAGACCAGTACAGCCTGGGGTGGGTGCCCTTCCTGCACCCGCCTCCTCGCCCTGCTGCCCCTCACCACCTGGCCCTCTGGGTGCCCGCGCCAAGGGCCCCATGGGACAACCCCATCCTGGACCCTCCTTGAGTACTCGTGGCTCCTTCTCCACAAACCATGCCGACTCCTGGCCCTCGTGGACCTGCGGACTGCCCTGTCCCCTACCACAGAGTGAGGCAGAGGCTCACAGTCAGCTCCTCCTGTCCCTCCCTCCCCACAGGTCCTATGCAGCCATGGCCCTGGCCCAGGACGTGTTTGCCACAGCCATGGTGCTCTCGCAGGACCAGGGCTATTGCACGTCCCTGCATGCCGCCAACAGTGGCCATGGGAGCTGGACCTCATGCTCCAGTGACTCGCACAACAACATCCAGACCATCCAGCACCTGAGGAGCTGGGAGACGCCACTGTTCGGGCCTGTGCTCTGCGATTACCCCGGGGACCCCATGGGGCCCTGGGCCAGCAGGAGCCACCTGGACCACTTGATTTTTGCCGAGGATGGCCAGAAGGGCGACAGACAGAACCCAATCGAAGAAAGCCTGGAGCAGGCGCAGTCCAGGGCCTGCTGGGCCTCTCCCACTGGCTGCAAGGACATGTCCCTTGAGGCCGAGAATGGCAGCAGCCTGGCGCCCGCGCCCACAGAGGAGCCCAAGGCTGGCCCTGTGCCAGCCCTCAGGGTGGCCACCTCGAGCGCTACCAAGGGGCTGGTCGGTAAGTCTGGGGGGACTCCTCAGACCTCATCCTCCCAAGCCCAGGTTGTGTGCATGTGCATGTGGCCTCGAGATGCTGCTCTGCTGTCCTAGCCTAACCAGGGCACCCAGCGTGGAAGTGGGTGGGGGACACGGCTGTGGTAGCAATGGTGAGCTGGCTCTGTGCCTGAGTGTTTCTCAGGTCAGTGCCTCGAACCGAGCTGGCTTTAGCCATGTTAGTAGCACGTTTTGGAGCCTGCCGGCAGGCATGCCGGCCATGGGCACAGCTCTGCCTCACCGAGCTCCCACTTCTGCAAGTTTCAGGCACTGGAAATACGGACAGAGCTCGCAGGTTAATGAAATTATACCTCATCTTTTTCCTTAAAAACAGCGCATTCTTTGGTTTACCCTTCTCAAATAGATGCACCACAGAACAAGCTTTCATAAAGTGTGCCCACTATTTCTTCTGCCTGTCTGTGGAAGGAAGTAACCTGAACAGAAATAAGGAATGTTTTTACCAGGGTACAGCAGGCTGGCTTAGACGCGCTGAGCCTTGGGTGAGGTCCCTCGGTCTCTGTGCTGGGCGCTGTTGGCTGACCTCCATCCTCCCTGAGGCGGCTCGGAGGAGTGTGGTCGAGGTACCCTGCCCCTCTGTGCGGAGGGCGCCATGTGTGAAGTGCTGACACTCTGCTGAGGCCCTGCCAGCCTGAGGCGACTCCCTGCTGGCCTGTAGCTTTGGTGCACTTGGAGTTTTCACACCGCTGTGCCTGATAGTATCGCTTCTTCCCCAGAGACGCCGTGTAGAGTGCAGAAGGCTGCTTACATGAGATGGCATGCTGGCAGGAAGGGGACATGGTTTGGGGCTGTTCTTCCTTTCTGGAAATCTCTCTGCTTGTCAGCTCTGAGGGAGTTTGAGGATGCCCCATAGTACTATGAGAAGCTTTGTAAAGTGTCTCCCATACTCCTGGAGAATAATCAAGGGGTCACTTTGTGTCTACCCACGCACCCTTCCCAGCCAGGCCCATGAACCCTGGGAGCCGCCCTCCTGGCTTCTGAGGAAGAGGCAGCTAGTTTCCTCTTCCTCTGTGGACTGAGTACATTACTGATGAGGACCCTTGGTGCTGTATCCTGCCTCCCCCATCCGCTCCGTGTCTCTGGGCCCTCTGCTTTTCTCCTGGTGTTCCCCTTTCCCCAGAGCTGAACTGCCCCGTAGTAGCAAATACCTGCTTCCAACCCAAGCTGGAGTTGAAGTGACCCCACCGAGCCCCGAATTCAGATGTTCACATATTGTCCACTTAATCTTGGTTGTTGCCAAGCACATGGTTATGGTGTCAGAGGTTTGGAATTTAAAACATCCACAGCCACCTCTTGGCCCTGGGAATCGGAAGTCTGAGCACAGGCATCTCTGCCTCCTCCACCTGTTCTCATATCGTGACGGTACAAGGAATATCCAGTTGTAAATATGTGGAACCTTACAGTAGCACTGAGTTTCAATACAGCCCTTTAGTTGTTAGAAGTTTTTAGTTCTTTGCTTATTTTTGTAGGCATAAACTCTCCGCAAGCTTTAAAGAAGATCCTCTCGCTGTCTGAAGAAGGCAGTCTGGAGCGCCACCCAAAGCAGGCGGAGGACATGCTGTCCAGCGCGTCCTCCAAGCTCTTGTCTTCACCCACATCCCCGCAGAGCTCGCCCAGGAAAGGTAGGGCTGCAGTGGTGGGCTTAGGCGCTGCCCTCTGCAGTCATAGAATTTCTTGCTGATTTCACAGGTTTTAATCTGCTCAGGGTGCCTTCACAGTCAGGGGCCTTCCCTCATTTTAAGCATTGGGAAGAATTTTTGTATTTCTTTTTAATATTACAGTATGTCAGATTTATCAGTTACACAGTCCTTTTTAACATCCATTTGCCTTTTTATTAATCCTAAATGTGGGAAGAATTCTTTCTATGTAAACATTCGTTCTTGTGTGACTGACCTTAGTACAGGGAGGAAGACTGTAGGGCCGAGCACCTGGTGTGTGTCTGTCGGGGTGGCTGGGCCTTGGTCCCCTTCCCCTACCCATGGGCCTGGCCCTTGATCCTCCCCCTTGGGTGGTGGCAGCCAAGGCTGTGCCCCACTGTCACTTGTAGAGTCCCGGAGCGGCTCACGTATGGCCAGGCTTCACTGTGGCCTCTGAGTGCCAGATCTGGGTGGGGGCTACGTCTGCGCTGTCCCTGTGTCCTGCGGTCAGTGGCAGTGGCGCTCAGCTGAGGCACTTTGACTCTGGGCAGCTGGACTTCGCTGGTTCCTCTTCTTTCCCGGGAAGTGAGCACCACCAGCTGTAGGATGGCATGGGACCAGGGCAGGTGGAGCTTTCAGAACTGGAGTCCCTGGGTCGTAATGCCTGAGGGGCAGGCGCTGTGCGCGACCCTCTTTCCCAGAGACAGATTGATTTTGGAATGGACTTCTGAGGAACAGATTTAAATTTCATCTGGCAAGACTTGCAGTGTGATTATAGACATTTCATAGGTAAACACATTAAATCTTAGCAAGACCCTATGTGACCTTGAACAAATAAATCAGGAATTACTAGTTTAGTGAAATGGGGGCCACTTAAATTGGCAAATTTAGGTCCTCCAGATTTATTTACATATTCTATATTATTTATTTTGTAGTAAGTGGCCTTTAAAAACTTACATGGTCTGTGATTGTATCAAATGATTTTGAACTAAGATGATTACATGCTTAGTAATGCAGAAAAGAAAAAAATGCGTGCGGAAAAGGAATATTCAGATTTTAATGGCGTGGTGGTGCACCCCTACACTCTGTGCCAGCTATCAATAGGCTGGGGCAGGAGGGTCGCTGCAACTTTGAGGCCAGCCTGGAATGCTCAGACCTGTCTCAAAAAAAAACAAAACAAATGAGATTTCTACTTTTTAACGCTGATTGGTGCATAAGCAGACGCCCTGTGCCCAGCCTCCATGTGCTGTGACCTTGGGCCACAGGGTGTGGGGGACAGCGGGCGCTGAGCTCGCTTGGCACAGCCCTGACTTCTGTATCTCCACTAAGCAGTCCGGTGCTCCTCCTTAGGTAAGGGGCTCCTTTGTTAGGACAGGAGTGCGAACTCTGAGGCATGAGGGGTCCCCTTCCCAGTGAGCGTCCTGCATTTCTGCTTGGCTTTTCTTCCATCATGTGAGGTCTCCTATGTGTTTGCAGGTTACACCCTGGCCCCCAGCTGGAGCGTGGACAACTTCTCCGACTCTGGCCACAGCGAGATCTCCTCTAGGTCCGGTATGGTCAGAAACTCCTCCTTGGACTCGGTGCCCATGGCCCTGCAGGAGGAGCGGAGGCAGCAGCACTCCGTGAGCCTGGTGGAGATCGGCCTGGGCGTTGTCAGGGCAGAGCAGCAGACAGTGCTAGAGCCAGACCAGTACAGCCTGGGGTGGGTGCCCTTCCTGCACCCGCCTCCTCGCCCTGCTGCCCCTCACCACCTGGCCCTGTGGGTGCCCGCGCCAAGGGCCCCATGGGACAACCCCATCCTGGACCCTCCTTGAGTACTCGTGGCTCCTTCTCCACAAACCATGCCGACCTCCTGGCCCTCGTGGACCTGCGGACTGCCCTGTCCCCTACCACAGAGTGAGGCAGAGGCTCACAGTCAGCTCCTCCTGTCCCTCCCTCCCCACAGGTCCTATGCAGCCATGGCCCTGGCCCAGGACGTGTTTGCCACAGCCATGGTGCTCTCGCAGGACCAGGGCTATTGCACGTCCCTGGATGCCGCCAACAGTGGCCATGGGAGCTGGACCTCATGCTCCAGTGACTCGCACAACAACATCCAGACCATCCAGCACCTGAGGAGCTGGGAGACCCCACTGTTCGGGCCTGTGCTCTGCGATTACCCCGGGGACCCCATGGGGCCCTGGGCCAGCAGGGGCCACCTGGACCACTTGATTTTTGCCGAGGATGGCCAGAAGGGCGACAGACAGATCCCAATCGAAGAAAGCCTGGAGCAGGCGCAGTCCAGGGCCCGCTGGGCCTCTCCCACTGGCTGCAAGGACATGTCCTTTGAGGCCGAGAATGGCAGCAGCCTGGCGCCCGCGCCCATAGAGGAGCCCAAGGCTGGCCCTGTGCCAGCCCTCAGGGTGGCCACCTCGAGCGCTACCAAGGGGCTGGTCGGTAAGTCTGGGGGGACTCCTCAGACCTCATCCTCCCAAGCCCAGGTTGTGTGCATGCGCATGTGCCCTCGAGATGCTGCTCTGCTGTCCTAGGCTGCCCAGGGCACCCAGCGTGGAAGTGGGTGGGGGAAACGGCTGTGGTAGCAGTGGTGAGCCGGCTCTGTGCCTGAGTGTTTCTCAGGTCAGTGCCTCGAACCGAGCTGGCTTCAGCCATGTCAGTAGCAGGCCTCGGAGCCTGCCTGCAGGCATGCCGGCCGTGGGCACAGCTCTGCCTCACCGAGCTCCCACTTCTGCAAGTTTCAGGCACTGGAAATACGGACAGAGCTCGCAGGTTAATGAAATTATACCTCATCTTTTTCCTTAAAAACAGCGCATTCATTGGTTTACCCTTCTCAAATAGATGCACCACAGAACAAGCTTTCATAAAGTGTGCCCACTATTTCTTCTGCCTGTCTGTGGAAGGAAGTAACCTGAACAGAAATAAGGAATGTTTTTACCAGGGTACAGCAGGCTGGCTTAGACGCGCTGGGCCTTGGGTGAGGTCCCTCGGTCTCTGTGCTGGGCGCTGTTGGCTGACCTCCATCCTCCCTGAGGCGGCTCGGAGGAGTGTGGTCGAGGTACCCTGCCCCTCTGTGCGGAGGGCGCCATGTGTGAAGTGCTGACACTCTGCTGAGGCCCTGCCAGCCTGAGGCGACTCCCTGCTGGCCTGTAGCTTTGGTGCACTTGGAGTTTTCACACCGCTGTGCCTGATAGTATCGCTTCTTCCCCAGAGACGCCGTGTAGAGTGCAGAAGGCTGCTTACATGAGATGGCATGCTGGCAGGAAGGGGACATGGTTTGGGGCTGTTCTTCCTTTCTGGAAATCTCTCTGCTTGCCAGCTCTGAGGGAGTTTGAGGATGCCCCATAGTACTATGAGAAGCTTTGTAAAGTGTCTCCCATACTCCTGGAGAATAATCAAGGGGTCACTTTGTGTCTACCCACGCACCCTTCCCGGCCAGGCCCATGCACCCTGGGAGCCGCCCTCCTGGCTTCTGTGGAAGAGGCAGCTAGTTTCCTCTTCCTCTGTGGACTGAGTACATTACTGATGAGGACCCTTGGTGCTGTATCCTGCCTCCCCCATCCGCTCCGTGTCTCTGGGCCCTCTGCTTTTCTCCTGGTGTTCCCCTTTCCCCAGAGCTGAACTGCCCCGTAGTAGCAAATACCTGCTTCCAACCCAAGCTGGAGTTGAAGTGACCCCACTGAGCCCCGAATTCAGATGTTCACATATTGTCCACTTAATCTTGGTTGTTGCCAAGCACATGGTTATGGTGTCAGAGGTTTGGAATTTAAAACATCCACAGCCACCTCTTGGCCCTGGGAATCGGAAGTCTGAGCACAGGCATCTCTGCCTCCTCCACCTGTTCTCATATCGTGACGGTACAAGGAATATCCAGTTGTAAATATGTGGAACCTTACAGTAGCACTGAGTTTCAATACAGCCCTTTAGTTGTTAGAAGTTTTTAGTTCTTTGCTTATTTTTGTAGGCATAAACTCTCCGCAAGCTTTAAAGAAGATCCTCTCGCTGTCTGAAGAAGGCAGTCTGGAGCGCCACCCAAAGCAGGCGGAGGACATGCTGTCCAGGGCGTCCTCCAAGCTCTTGTCTTCACCCACATCCCCGCAGAGCTCGCCCAGGAAAGGTAGGGCTGCAGTGGTGGGCTTAGGCGCTGCCCTCTGCAGTCATAGAATTTCTTGCTGATTTCACAGGTTTTAATCTGCTCAGGGTGCCTTCACAGTCAGGGGCCTTCCCTCATTTTAAGCATTGGGAAGAATTTTTGTATTTCTTTTTAATATTACAGTATGTCAGATTTATCAGTTACACAGTCCTTTTTAACATCCATTTGCCTTTTTATTAATCCTAAATGTGGGAAGAATTCTTTCTATGTAAACATTCGTTCTTGTGTGACTGACGTTAGTACAGGGAGGAAGACTGTAGGGCCGAGCACCTGGTGTGTGTCTGTCGGGGTGGCTGGGCCTTGGTCCCCTTCCCCTACCCATGGGCCTGGCCCTTGATCCTCCCCCTTGGGTGGTGGCAGCCAAGGCTGTGCCCCACTGTCACTTGTAGAGTCCCGGAGCGGCTCACGTATGGCCAGGCTTCACTGTGGCCTCTGAGTGCCAGATCTGGGTGGGGGCTACGTCTGCGCTGTCCCTGTGTCCTGCGGTCAGTGGCAGTGGCGCTCAGCTGAGGCACTTTGACTCTGGGCAGCTGGACTTCGCTGGTTCCTCTTCTTTCCCGGGAAGTGAGCACCACCAGCTGTAGGATGGCATGGGACCAGGGCAGGTGGAGCTTTCAGAACTGGAGTCCCTGGGTCGTAATGCCTGAGGGGCAGGCGCTGTGCGCGACCCTCTTTCCCAGAGACAGATTGATTTTGGAATGGACTTCTGAGGAACAGATTTAAATTTCATCTGGCAAGACTTGCAGTGTGATTATAGACATTTCATAGGTAAACACATTAAATCTTAGCAAGACCCTATGTGACCTTGAACAAATAAATCAGGAATTACTAGTTTAGTGAAATGGGGGCCACTTAAATTGGCAAATTTAGGTCCTCCAGATTTATTTACATATTCTATATTATTTATTTTGTAGTAAGTGGCCTTTAAAAACTTACATGGTCTGTGATTGTATCAAATGATTTTGAACTAAGATGATTACATGCTTAGTAATGCAGAAAAGAAAAAAATGCGTGCGGAAAAGGAATATTCAGATTTTAATGGCGTGGTGGTGCACCCCTACACTCTGTGCCAGCTATCAATAGGCTGGGGCAGGAGGGTCGCTGCAACTTTGAGGCCAGCCTGGAATGCTCAGACCTGTCTCAAAAAAAACAAAACAAATGAGATTTCTACTTTTTAACGCTGATTGGTGCATAAGCAGACGCCCTGTGCCCAGCCTCCATGTGCTGTGACCTTGGGCCACAGGGTGTGGGGGACAGCGGGCGCTGAGCTCGCTTGGCACAGCCCTGACTTCTGTATCTCCACTAAGCAGTCCGGTGCTCCTCCTTAGGTAAGGGGCTCCTTTGTTAGGACAGGAGTGCGAACTCTGAGGCATGAGGGGTCCCCTTCCCAGTGAGCGTCCTGCATTTCTGCTTGGCTTTTCTTCCATCATGTGAGGTCTCCTATGTGTTTGCAGGTTACACCCTGGCCCCCAGCTGGAGCGTGGACAACTTCTCCGACTCTGGCCACAGCGAGATCTCCTCTAGGTCCGGTATGGTCAGAAACTCCTCCTTGGACTCGGTGCCCATGGCCCTGCAGGAGGAGCGGAGGCAGCAGCACTCCGTGAGCCTGGTGGAGATCGGCCTGGGCGTTGTCAGGGCAGAGCAGCAGACAGTGCTAGAGCCAGACCAGTACAGCCTGGGGTGGGTGCCCTTCCTGCACCCGCCTCCTCGCCCTGCTGCCCCTCACCACCTGGCCCTCTGGGTGCCCGCGCCAAGGGCCCCATGGGACAACCCCATCCTGGACCCTCCTTGAGTACTCGTGGCTCCTTCTCCACAAACCATGCCGACCTCCTGGCCCTCGTGGACCTGCGGACTGCCCTGTCCCCTACCACAGAGTGAGGCAGAGGCTCACAGTCAGCTCCTCCTGTCCCGCCCTCCCCACAGGTCCTATGCAGCCATGGCCCTGGCCCAGGATGTGTTTGCCACAGCCATGGTGCTCTCGCAGGACCAGGGCTATTGCACGTCCCTGGATGCCGCCAACAGTGGCCATGGGAGCTGGACCTCATGCTCCAGTGACTCGCACAACAACATCCAGACCATCCAGCACCTGAGGAGCTGGGAGACCCCACTGTTCGGGCCTGTGCTCTGCGATTACCCCGGGGACCCCATGGGGCCCTGGGCCAGCAGGGGCCACCTGGACCACTTGATTTTTGCCGAGGATGGCCAGAAGGGCGACAGACAGATCCCAATCGAAGAAAGCCTGGAGCAGGCGCAGTCCAGGGCCCGCTGGGCCTCTCCCACTGGCTGCAAGGACATGTCCCTTGAGGCCGAGAATGGCAGCAGCCTGGCGCCCGAGCCCACAGAGGAGCCCAAGGCTGGCCCTGTGCCAGCCCTCAGGGTGGCCACCTCGAGCGCTACCAAGGGGCTGGTCGGTAAGTCTGGGGGGACTCCTCAGACCTCATCCTCCCAAGCCCAGGTTGTGTGCATGCGCATGTGCCCTCGAGATGCTGCTCTGCTGTCCTAGGCTGCCCAGGGCACCCAGCGTGGAAGTGGGTGGGGGACACGGCTGTGGTAGCAGTGGTGAGCCGGCTCTGTGCCTGAGTGTTTCTCAGGTCAGTGCCTCGAACCGAGCTGGCTTCAGCCATGTCAGTAGCAGGCCTCGGAGCCTGCCTGCAGGCATGCCGGCCGTGGGCACAGCTCTGCCTCACCGAGCTCCCACTTCTGCAAGTTTCAGGCACTGGAAATACGGACAGAGCTCGCAGGTTAATGAAATTATACCTCATCTTTTTCCTTAAAAACAGCGCATTCATTGGTTTACCCTTCTCAAATAGATGCACCACAGAACAAGCTTTCATAAAGTGTGCCCACTATTTCTTCTGCCTGTCTGTGGAAGGAAGTAACCTGAACAGAAATAAGGAATGTTTTTACCAGGGTACAGCAGGCTGGCTTAGACGCGCTGGGCCTTGGGTGAGGTCCCTCGGTCTCTGTGCTGGGCGCTGTTGGCTGACCTCCATCCTCCCTGAGGCGGCTCGGAGGAGTGTGGTCGAGGTACCCTGCCCCTCTGTGCGGAGGGCGCCATGTGTGAAGTGCTGACACTCTGCTGAGGCCCTGCCAGCCTGAGGCGACTCCCTGCTGGCCTGTAGCTTTGGTGCACTTGGAGTTTTCACACCGCTGTGCCTGATAGTATCGCTTCTTCCCCAGAGACGCCGTGTAGAGTGCAGAAGGCTGCTTACATGAGATGGCATGCTGGCAGGAAGGGGACATGGTTTGGGGCTGTTCTTCCTTTCTGGAAATCTCTCTGCTTGCCAGCTCTGAGGGAGTTTGAGGATGCCCCATAGTACTATGAGAAGCTTTGTAAAGTGTCTCCCATACTCCTGGAGAATAATCAAGGGGTCACTTTGTGTCTACCCACGCACCCTTCCCGGCCAGGCCCATGCACCCTGGGAGCCGCCCTCCTGGCTTCTGTGGAAGAGGCAGCTAGTTTCCTCTTCCTCTGTGGACTGAGTACATTACTGATGAGGACCCTTGGTGCTGTATCCTGCCTCCCCCATCCGCTCCGTGTCTCTGGGCCCTCTGCTTTTCTCCTGGTGTTCCCCTTTCCCCAGAGCTGAACTGCCCCGTAGTAGCAAATACCTGCTTCCAACCCAAGCTGGAGTTGAAGTGACCCCACTGAGCCCCGAATTCAGATGTTCACATATTGTCCACTTAATCTTGGTTGTTGCCAAGCACATGGTTATGGTGTCAGAGGTTTGGAATTTAAAACATCCACAGCCACCTCTTGGCCCTGGGAATCGGAAGTCTGAGCACAGGCATCTCTGCCTCCTCCACCTGTTCTCATATCGTGACGGTACAAGGAATATCCAGTTGTAAATATGTGGAACCTTACAGTAGCACTGAGTTTCAATACAGCCCTTTAGTTGTTAGAAGTTTTTAGTTCTTTGCTTATTTTTGTAGGCATAAACTCTCCGCAAGCTTTAAAGAAGATCCTCTCGCTGTCTGAAGAAGGCAGTCTGGAGCGCCACCCAAAGCAGGCGGAGGACATGCTGTCCAGCGCGTCCTCCAAGCTCTTGTCTTCACCCACATCCCCGCAGAGCTCGCCCAGGAAAGGTAGGGCTGCAATGGTGGGCTTAGGCGCTGCCCTCTGCAGTCATAGAATTTCTTGCTGATTTCACAGGTTTTAATCTGCTCAGGGTGCCTTCACAGTCAGGGGCCTTCCCTCATTTTAAGCATTGGGAAGAATTTTTGTATTTCTTTTTAATATTACAGTATGTCAGATTTATCAGTTACACAGTCCTTTTAAACATCCATTTGCCTTTTTATTAATCCTAAATGTGGGAAGAATTCTTTCTATGTAAACATTCGTTCTTGTGTGACTGACGTTAGTACAGGGAGGAAGACTGTAGGGCCGAGCACCTGGTGTGTGTCTGTCGGGGTGGCTGGGCCTTGGTCCCCTTCCCCTACCCATGGGCCTGGCCCTTGATCCTCCCCCTTGGGTGGTGGCAGCCAAGGCTGTGCCCCACTGTCACTTGTAGAGTCCCGGAGCGGCTCACGTATGGCCAGGCTTCACTGTGGCCTCTGAGTGCCAGATCTGGGTGGGGGCTACGTCTGCGCTGTCCCTGTGTCCTGCGGTCAGTGGCAGTGGCGCTCAGCTGAGGCACTTTGACTCTGGGCAGCTGGACTTCGCTGGTTCCTCTTCTTTCCCGGGAAGTGAGCACCGCCAGCTGTAGGATGGCATGGGACCAGGGCAGGTGGAGCTTTCAGAACTGGAGTCCCCGGGTCGTAATGCCTGAGGGGCAGGCGCTGTGCGCGACCCTCTTTCCCAGAGACAGATTGATTTTGGAATGGACTTCTGAGGAACAGATTTAAATTTCATCTGGCAAGACTTGCAGTGTGATTATAGACATTTCATAGGTAAACACATTAAATCTTAGCAAGACCCTATGTGACCTTGAACTAATAAATCAGGAATTACTAGTTTAGTGAAATGGGGGCCACTTAAATTGGCAAATTTAGGTCCTCCAGATTTATTTACATATTCTATATTATTTATTTTGTAGTAAGTGGCCTTTAAAAACTTACATGGTCTGTGATTGTATCAAATGATTTTGAACTAAGATGATTACATGCTTAGTAATGCAGAAAAGAAAAAAATGAGTGCGGAAAAGGAATATTCAGATTTTAATGGCGTGGTGGTGCACCCCTACACTCTGTGCCAGCTATCAAAAGGCTGGGGCAGGAGGGTCGCTGCAACTTTGAGGCCAGCCTGGAATGCTCAGACCCTGTCTCAAAAAAAACAAAACAAATGAGATTTCTACTTTTTAACGCTGATTGGTGCATAAGCAGACGCCCTGTGCCCAGCCTCCATGTGCTGTGACCTTGGGCCACAGGGTGTGGGGGACAGCGGGCGCTGAGCTCGCTTGGCACAGCCCTGACTTCTGTATCTCCACTAAGCAGTCCGGTGCTCCTCCTTAGGTAAGGGGCTCCTTTGTTAGGACAGGAGTGCGAACTCTGAGGCATGAGGGGTCCCCTTCCCAGTGAGCGTCCTGCATTTCTGCTTGGCTTTTCTTCCATCATGTGAGGTCTCCTATGTGTTTGCAGGTTACACCCTGGCCCCCAGCTGGAGCGTGGACAACTTCTCCGACTCTGGCCACAGCGAGATCTCCTCTAGGTCCGGTATGGTCAGAAACTCCTCCTTGGACTCGGTGCCCATGGCCCTGCAGGAGGAGCGGAGGCAGCAGCACTCCGTGAGCCTGGTGGAGATCGGCCTGGGCGTTGTCAGGGCAGAGCAGCAGACAGTGCTAGAGCCAGACCAGTACAGCCTGGGGTGGGTGCCCTTCCTGCACCCGCCTCCTCGCCCTGCTGCCCCTCACCACCTGGCCCTCTGGGTGCCCGCGCCAAGGGCCCCATGGGACAACCCCATCCTGGACCCTCCTTGAGTACTCGTGGCTCCTTCTCCACAAACCATGCCGACCTCCTGGCCCTCGTGGACCTGCGGACTGCCCTGTCCCCTACCACAGAGTGAGGCAGAGGCTCACAGTCAGCTCCTCCTGTCCCGCCCTCCCCACAGGTCCTATGCAGCCATGGCCCTGGCCCAGGACGTGTTTGCCACAGCCATGGTGCTCTCGCAGGACCAGGGCTATTGCACGTCCCTGGATGCCGCCAACAGTGGCCATGGGAGCTGGACCTCATGCTCCAGTGACTCGCACAACAACATCCAGACCATCCAGCACCTGAGGAGCTGGGAGACCCCACTGTTCGGGCCTGTGCTCTGCGATTACCCCGGGGACCCCATGGGGCCCTGGGCCAGCAGGGGCCACCTGGACCACTTGATTTTTGCCGAGGATGGCCAGAAGGGCGACAGACAGATCCCAATCGAAGAAAGCCTGGAGCAGGCGCAGTCCAGGGCCCGCTGGGCCTCTCCCACTGGCTGCAAGGACATGTCCCTTGAGGCCGAGAATGGCAGCAGCCTGGCGCCCGCGCCCACAGAGGAGCCCAAGGCTGGCCCTGTGCCAGCCCTCAGGGTGGCCACCTCGAGCGCTACCAAGGGGCTGGTCGGTAAGTCTGGGGGGACTCCTCAGACCTCATCCTCCCAAGCCCAGGTTGTGTGCATGTGCATGTGGCCTCGAGATGCTGCTCTGCTGTCCTAGGCTGCCCAGGGCACCCAGCGTGGAAGTGGGTGGGGGACACGGCTGTGGTAGCAGTGGTGAGCCGGCTCTGTGCCTGAGTGTTTCTCAGGTCAGTGCCTCAAACCGAGCTGGCTTCAGCCATGTCAGTAGCAGGCCTCGGAGCCTGCCTGCAGGCATGCCGGCCGTGGGCACAGCTCTGCCTCACCGAGCTCCCACTTCTGCAAGTTTCAGGCACTGGAAATACGGACAGAGCTCGCAGGTTAATGAAATTATACCTCATCTTTTTCCTTAAAAACAGCGCATTCATTGGTTTACCCTTCTCAAATAGATGCACCACAGAACAAGCTTTCATAAAGTGTGCCCACTATTTCTTCTGTCTGTCTGTGGAAGGAAGTAACCTGAACAGAAATAAGGAATGTTTTTACCAGGGTACAGCAGGCTGGCTTAGACGCGCTGGGCCTTGGGTGAGGTCCCTCGGTCTCTGTGCTGGGCGCTGTTGGCTGACCTCCATCCTCCCTGAGGCGGCTCGGAGGAGTGTGGTCGAGGTACCCTGCCCCTCTGTGCGGAGGGCGCCATGTGTGAAGTGCTGACACTCTGCTGAGGCCCTGCCAGCCTGAGGCGACTCCCTGCTGGCCTGTAGCTTTGGTGCACTTGGAGTTTTCACACCGCTGTGCCTGATAGTATCGCTTCTTCCCCAGAGACGCCGTGTAGAGTGCAGAAGGCTGCTTACATGAGATGGCATGCTGGCAGGAAGGGGACATGGTTTGGGGCTGTTCTTCCTTTCTGGAAATCTCTCTGCTTGTCAGCTCTGAGGGAGTTTGAGGACGCCCCATAGTACTATGAGAAGCTTTGTAAAGTGTCTCCCATACTCCTGGAGAATAGTCAAGGGGTCACTTTGTGTCTACCCACGCACCCTTCCCAGCCAGGCCCATGCACCCTGGGAGCCGCCCTCCTGGCTTCTGTGGAAGAGGCAGCTAGTTTCCTCTTCCTCTGTGGACTGAGTACATTACTGATGAGGACCCTTGGTGCTGTATCCTGCCTCCCCCATCCGCTCCGTGTCTCTGGGCCCTCTGCTTTTCTCCTGGTGTTCCCCTTTCCCCAGAGCTGAACTGCCCCGTAGTAGCAAATACCTGCTTCCAACCCAAGCTGGAGTTGAAGTGACCCCACTGAGCCCCGAATTCAGATGTTCACATATTGTCCACTTAATCTTGGTTGTTGCCAAGCACATGGTTATGGTGTCAGAGGTTTGGAATTTAAAACATCCACAGCCACCTCTTGGCCCTGGGAATCGGAAGTCTGAGCACAGGCATCTCTGCCTCCTCCACCTGTTCTCATATCGTGACGGTACAAGGAATATCCAGTTGTAAATATGTGGAACCTTACAGTAGCACTGAGTTTCAATACAGCCCTTTAGTTGTTAGAAGTTTTTAGTTCTTTGCTTATTTTTGTAGGCATAAACTCTCCGCAAGCTTTAAAGAAGATCCTCTCGCTGTCTGAAGAAGGCAGTCTGGAGCGCCACCCAAAGCAGGCGGAGGACATGCTGTCCAGCGCGTCCTCCAAGCTCTTGTCTTCACCCACATCCCCGCAGAGCTCGCCCAGGAAAGGTAGGGCTGCAGTGGTGGGCTTAGGCGCTGCCCTCTGCAGTCATAGAATTTCTTGCTGATTTCACAGGTTTTAATCTGCTCAGGGTGCCTTCACAGTCAGGGGCCTTCCCTCATTTTAAGCATTGGGAAGAATTTTTGTATTTCTTTTTAATATTACAGTATGTCAGATTTATCAGTTACACAGTCCTTTTGAACATCCATTTGCCTTTTTATTAATCCTAAATGTGGGAAGAATTCTTTCTATGTAAACATTCGTTCTTGTGTGACTGACGTTAGTACAGGGAGGAAGACTGTAGGGCCGAGCACCTGGTGTGTGTCTGTCGGGGTGGCTGGGCCTTGGTCCCCTTCCCCTACCCATGGGCCTGGCCCTTGATCCTCCCCCTTGGGTGGTGGCAGCCAAGGCTGTGCCCCATTGTCACTTGTAGAGTCCCGGAGCTGCTAACGTATGGCCAGGCTTCACTGTGGCCTCTGAGTGCCAGATCTGGGTGGGGGCTACGTCTGCGCTGTCCCTGTGTCCTGCGGTCAGTGGCAGTGGCGCTCAGCTGAGGCACTTTGACTCTGGGCAGCTGGACTTCACTGGTTCCTCTTCTTTCCCGGGAAGTGAGCACCACCAGCTGTAGGATGGCATGGGACCAGGGCAGGTGGAGCTTTCAGAACTGGAGTCCCCGGGTCGTAATGCCTGAGGGGCAGGCGCTGTGCGCGACCCTCTTTCCCAGAGACAGATTGATTTTGGAATGGACTTCTGAGGGACAGATTTAAATTTCATCTGGCAAGACTTGCAGTGTGATTATAGACATTTCATAGGTAAACACATTAAATCTTAGCAAGACCCTATGTGACCTTGAACAAATAAATCAGGAATTACTAGTTTAGTGAAATGGGGGCCACTTAAATTGGCAAATTTAGGTCCTCCAGATTTATTTACATATTCTATATTATTTATTTTGTAGTAAGTGGCATTTAAAAACTTACATGGTCTGTGATTGTATCAAATGATTTTGAACTAAGATGATTACATGCTTAGTAATGCAGAAAAGAAAAAAATGAGTGCGGAAAAGGAATATTCAGATTTTAATGGCGTGGTGGTGCACCCCTACACTCTGTGCCAGCTATCAAAAGGCTGGGGCAGGAGGGTCGCTGCAACTTTGAGGCCAGCCTGGAATGCTCAGACCTGTCTCAAAAAAAACAAAACAAATGAGATTTCTGCTTTTTAACGCTGATTGGTGCATAAGCAGACGCCCTGTGCCCAGCCTCCATGTGCTGTGACCTTGGGCCACAGGGTGTGGGGGACAGCGGGCGCTGAGCTCGCTTGGCACAGCCCTGACTTCTGTATCTCCACTAAGCAGTCCGGTGCTCCTCCTTAGGTAAGGGGCTCCTTTGTTAGGACAGGAGTGCGAACTCTGAGGCATGAGGGGTCCCCTTCCCAGTGAGCGTCCTGCATTTCTGCTTGGCTTTTCTTCCATCATGTGAGGTCTCCTATGTGTTTGCAGGTTACACCCTGGCCCCCAGCTGGAGCGTGGACAACTTCTCCGACTCTGGCCACAGCGAGATCTCCTCTAGGTCCGGTATGGTCAGAAACTCCTCCTTGGACTCGGTGCCCATGGCCCTGCAGGAGGAGCGGAGGCAGCAGCACTCCGTGAGCCTGGTGGAGATCGGCCTGGGCGTTGTCAGGGCAGAGCAGCAGACAGTGCTAGAGCCAGACCAGTACAGCCTGGGGTGGGTGCCCTTCCTGCACCCGCCTCCTCGCCCTGCTGCCCCTCACCACCTGGCCCTCTGGGTGCCCGTGCCAAGGGCCCCATGGGACAACCCCATCCTGGACCCTCCTTGAGTACTCGTGGCTCCTTCTCCACAAACCATGCCGACCTCCTGGCCCTCGTGGACCTGCGGACTGCCCTGTCCCCTACCACAGAGTGAGGCAGAGGCTCACAGTCAGCTCCTCCTGTCCCGCCCTCCCCACAGGTCCTATGCAGCCATGGCCCTGGCCCAGGACGTGTTTGCCACAGCCATGGTGCTCTCGCAGGACCAGGGCTATTGCACGTCCCTGGATGCCGCCAACAGTGGCCATGGGAGCTGGACCTCATGCTCCAGTGACTCACACAACAACATCCAGACCATCCAGCACCTGAGGAGCTGGGAGACGCCACTGTTCGGGCCTGTGCTCTGCGATTACCCCTTGGACCCCATGGGGCTCTGGGCCAACAGGGGCCACCTGGACCACTTGATTTTTGCCGAGGATGGCCAGAAGGGCAACAGACAGAACCCAATCGAAGAAAGCCTGGAGCAGGCGCAGTCCAGGGCCCGCTGGGCCTCTCCCACTGGCTGCAAGGACATGTCCCTTGAGGTCGAGAATGGCAGCTGCCTGTCGCCCACTCCCAACGATGAGCCCAAGGCTGGCCCTGTGCCAGCCCACGGGGCTGCCACCTCGAGCGCTACCAAGGGGCTGGTCGGTAAGTCTGGGCGGAATCCTCCAACCTCATCCTGCCCAAGCCCAGGTTTTGTGCATGCGCACTCGCCCGTGCATGCGATGCTACTCCGCTGTCCTAGGCTGCCCAGGGCACCCAGCGTAGAAGTGGGTGGGGGGCATGGCTGTGGTAGCAGTGCTGAGCCGGCTCTGTGCCTGTGGTTACTGGTGTTTTGGGTCGTGTCTCGTAGTCTGAAAATAACCAAGCTAGATAGCGGCGCTCCAGGGAAGTGCTTGCTTTTCACTGAAACTTGGAACTACTGTTTTACCACTCTCTTTAGCTCTGCTTGGAGCAGGGCCTTAGCATGCTGAGGCTGGCTTCTTGGCCCTTCCTGGGCACCCCGGTGTGCAACAGGGAGGCCCCATTGTGTCTCGAGTTTCTGCCCTTGGCATGCTGGACCCACCTGCTCCCATGGGCCAACCTCCCCGATGGAGTTAGTGTGGCGGGAGGATGGGGAGGACAGAGAAGGAATGCCTGCTTCCTTCTGGGGAGAAGGTGACCTGAGCTCTTTGGAGGGGAACGGTGAGGAGTGTGTAGGGCCAGGAGGAGCAAGAGCTGAAGAATCCTCATTACAGGACGCAGCGCCTCTGTTAGTGGAGAAACTCCTTGGTCTGGCTTGGGCTTCAGGTCTCAGACTCTGTGTGACCCAGGCCGGCCTCGAACTCACTGCACTGCCTTGTCCGGAGCCTTCGGTAGGCGTCCCTTTCATGCCCTTCCAGGATGACAGAGGAGGTAACAGCTGAACAGTCTTAGGTTCATCCTTCTCAAGCACTTGCTGTTAAAACTGAGTATCAGAATTTTTATTGTGAAGAAAGGATTTAGTTCCTAACGTTTGAGTTAGCTCAACACAAAACTTTAATCAATATTAATTAAAAGGATTTTCAGAAACATAAACACCTTACAGTGTTAGTTGTTCAGGTGACACTTCGGGGTGGAGATAGTGCTTTCCCTAATTTGTTTTCATGTCCTGTTTCCGGAGAGAGCCATCGGGCCTGGGAGTGCTGAGCCTTTTTGACCTGCATGGTGGAGGCGGAGGCTGGCCAGGCCGCCAGTGCCTTTCCCGCAGGAGCTGAGCCACACCGGGCAGGCATGAGCCTGGGTGCACTAGGGTTTGTGTCCACTCCGGTCTCGAGGGGTCCCCTTCTGCAAGGCAGCCGTGCTCAGAAGCCCAAAGCTGGCTGTGCATGAGCAGCCGAACAGTGTCAGGGGTTGGACTGCTGCAGCCTGGTGCGGAACCCCTGCTTCACCTAACCAGGTTCTGCTTCCTTGCAGTGTGGAAGGAGGGCCTGTACCCAGAGCCACCGCCAACCCCGCCTGGCTACTTGGGCATCCTGATCACAGACTTCGAGGTGCCTCCGAATCCAGCACTCCGGCCCCCAGAGTACACTGTGGCGCTGCAGAGCTCATGCATGGTGGTGCGGCCCGCGGAGGTCTCATCCTTGGCACCGGGCGGCAGACCACAGTGGCACAAGCCCAGTGAGGCTGATCCCCGTCTGGCCCCCTGCCAGGATCAGGGCTTCTGCAAGGAGGAAGATGGTAGGTGTGGGAGGTGGCAGTGGGGCAGCGCTGGGCCAGGCTGGGCTCTGCTGGGCAGGTTCTGCCTGGTGGGCAAGCTTCCGGAGCAGGGGAGACCCTGAGCTCCCTCCCCCACCTGCACCTCTTCTCTGATTCTTTTTTGACTTTTTCCTTTTTATCGGTACCAGGGATCGAACTCACGACTGCCTGCTTGCAAGGCAGGTGCTTATGCCGCTGAGCTAAATCCCCAGCCCCTCTTCTCTGATTCTTAATAAATCAAGGCATTCCACAGCCCTATGTTAAGGATAAGTATAAACATCTGTACTGTGTTGAATTTGAAGAAGCCCTTTGAGCTGTAAAATAGATGGCTGAAACATTATATTGGACTTAGAGGCACTGGGACCTTTGGCAGTGAAAGAGAATACAGCTGCATACATTTCCTGGCACTGTTTTAAAGGTGCCATGGATGGGACACAGACCCTGTTTCCTGAGCACTTCCCACACTGTCTGCCTTCATTTATGCATGTCTAAGAGGGGCTCCAAGTTGTCTGTGCTGAGCTGGAGCTTGGGATCCTCCTTGTCCAGCCTGCTGATGCTGGGATCACAGGCCGCTGGCCCAGCACACCCAGCCTCTCTGTAACTCTTTCACCGCCTTTGTGTAAATCTACCTGCGGAGTTTGGATTGAGGTTGAAGAACAAGAGCCTTCTTTTTTTTAAGTTTTCAGTTTAACATTCTTCTTTACATGGTCATTATGTGAAAAAGCCAAATATAACAAGTGAGAGTGAATTCATGATTGGCGCGCAGCGATAAACTTTTTCTAACATCTCTGTGTGTGGTTTTTAATGTGTATGGCTGCGTCATTAAAAATCGGCACAGCCATTTTATAACTTTCTTCCGTGAATTTAAACAGGAATCACTTTCCATGTAAACAGAAATATTTTTTATCAGATGTAGCTCTTGGAAGATGCACGCGTGCATACGTGCCTGTGTGCGTGCGTGCGTATGTGTGTGATCTTGAGCCATTTTCATTGCTAAAGGCTGCCTGGAAGAGCCCCCAGGGCTGTGGGGAGCCAGCTTTGCCTGTGGGTCACTCACTGGCCTCTCTGTTTCCTCCCCTGCCGCCCTACAGAGGATGAGCAGGTGTCTGCCCTGTGAGGCCCAGGCCCGGGCATCGAGCCACGCAGAGGAGCGCACAGAGGACAGCATCCTACCTGGGCCTCAGAGCAGAGCTTGCCCTGCTACTGAGGACCTTCACTGCCTGCAGTGGGCTGCTCCTCCTACCCCTTTGCATGTGAATACTGTGAAGACCACCTCACCAGCACTTTCCAGACTTTGTTGCTTGAAATGCACAGAGCAGCTATCTCCCAGTGTAGTGGGCCTTGCCCACATAGCATCATTCCAGATCCCCCATGCTGGGGCCCACCGGAGCCACTCCCTGGGCGAGCTCTCTGTGCCTGGAAGGAAGGCTTTGAAAGGCCTCCCTGTTGGATCCTAGCTCAGCCCCAGAGCTCAGTGTCATCAGGATGATAAGCAGAGCCTGCCACGGAGACTTGGGACCTCCAGCCCCCAGGTGAGGGACTGGAGACCCTTAGAGCGCAGTGCTTGTCCTCTTGTTTACAGTGCTCCTTTTGAAAATGAGTTCCAAGAGTCAAGGTTATAGCCCTTTGATGATTGCAGTATTATTTCTGAACCTCATGTAGGTTACCACCTGGGTTTCTAAAAACCCAAATGTTCTGTCGGGGCGCAGCCAGGTGAGGATGGAAGGCCTGGCCCTTCCAGTCCAGCCTCTGCCCCCTGCCTCCTCCACGGCGGCAGGCCATCCTCTGGCCAGGCCTTGGACCTGGAGTGTGTCCTGCTTCCACTGAGACAAGGTGGCAGCCCCTTAAGTTATATTTCTTTGATTTTAGTTACTTTAGAGCTTCCGAATTTTTTGTTTTGTTGTCTTTTTGAAGAATAGCTTGTAACTGGATAGCATTCGCAGTGAGTGCAGCACTGGCCCTGGGACTGATGCCAGCTGAGCTTCCTGTCCCCAGGGGCCGCTCCACCCCCCCACCCCCCCCCCCCGCCCCAGTGTCTGGGCCTCAGAGATGCTGCCTTGGCCAGGAGGGTGAGCGCCTGGCGGGGGCGCCTCCTGGAGGCAACTGCCTGCTCACAGTTGCTGCAGGACCAAGGACTCCAGAGGACTCCCCTCTCCATTTGGGGTCGTTTTTGCAGAGATTCCGGAAAGTGAAGGCTGCCAGTCTGAGGAGTACTCAGATGTTTGGAGCTGCTGGTCTTGGGTTTCCATTGAATTCAGCTGATCATGCTGATCAGTAGATAAACGTAAATAGCATCAAATTTTAAAAGTCCAATTGCAGTGTTTTTTCACTGTATCAGACAATGTCAGTGCTTTATTTAATAATTCTCTGTCTCATGGCATTTGTCTACTTCCTTATATATTACATTGTCAATTATACATTTCTAACTTTACATGGAATATGCATTATTTGCCAGTTTTATTATATAGGCTATGGACCTCATGTGCATATTAGAAAGGAATCTAGCTCTACCGCAAGTTGCACAAATGTTCCCTAAACATTAAGTAATTGTAGAACATAGGACTGCTAATCTCAGTTCACTCAGTGATGTCAAGTGCAGAATGTACAATTAATTGGTGATTTCCTCATACTTTTGATACTACCTGTACCTGTATGTCTTTTAGAAAGACATTGGTGGAGTCTGTATTCCGTTTGTATTTTTAATACAATAATTGTACATATTGGTTATATTTTTGTTCAAGATGGTAGAAATGTACTATGTTTATGCTTCTACATCCAGTTTGTACAAGCTGGAAAATAAATAAATATAACATGAAGCCTTGCCGATACTCTTAATGAGCCGTGCGTGCTTTTTATTCCTGCAGTGAGGCAGAGGCCTCTGGTCACACAGGTGCGGAGTGCCCGACCGCAAAGTGGTGTCACTGGGCCCAGAACATGCAGGGCCTGGGTCCCGGGGGTGCATGCTGGGACCCAGGCCCTCAGAGGAGCTGGGTGGCGCTCAGGCTCCGAGAGGGCGGCTCCACTGTTGCTGTGGACCCAGGGTTGGGGAGGGTGCCCTGTCTGTTCTCTCCCTGGTGCAGGCTCCAGGCCCCAGGTTTTCAGGGTGCCAGTTGGCGGGCCGCTGGGGTGCCGAGCCCCGCTCTTCCATGCATCCCTGAGACCTCTGCCCAGCTGGGCCCCAGCGTTGGGCCTGCGCTCCTTCTAGTTCCCTGGGGTCTGAGATGTGACCCGTGGAGAGCTGGGTACCGCGCACCCCTTGCTTAATCCTGAGCACCTCGCTCCTTCTCAGACTTCAGTCAAACACAGTAAACCTGGCCTTTGGGGGAACAGAGCCTCGTTTCTTCTCCTACTGAGATGGGCCGTGACCTGCAAACTGCCACTCTCTGCGCCCCTCCGGCGTCTGCCTTGTGCCCTGTGAGTGACGGGCCATCAGCCTCATGTCCTCTCCTGCCTCAAGGTGCTGAGGGCCAGGAGCCTTGAAGCCACCGAACTGTAGGAAGCAACATTCTAGAAAATTCTGGCCAGTGTCTGTGTTCTCCCTGACGAGACCAGCACAAGCTTGGAGCCCCCTGGGGAGGAGCCCCCTGGGGAACAGCCTGGCTGGGCTCTGTCTGTGTCTGTGCCCTCTGCAGTGAGGATGTTTTGGTGCCATCCCCGATTGAGTGCATGTGATTCTTGCATAATGCTCGGAGCCCGCATTGTGCAGGGCTCCTTTACTGTAGATACTGTGTGCGTTGAGTGTTGAGGCCCTCACTGAGGACTGGGCACTGGGGCACTGGCATACAGGGCCTGGCTGGGAGAGGGTCCGGAGACTGCAGCGGACCTGAGTGCATGGGGTGGGGGTGAACCTGCCGGGAGTTGCCACAGATGGAGACCACAAAGCTGAGAGTCATTTGTGGGTCGCACTTTCCCAGCACACAGTTTGTGACCTTATTGAGACAGAGTCTCACTGTGTAGCCCAGGCTGGTCTTGAACTCACAGTGATCCTCCTGCCTCAGCCTCCAGAGGGCTGGGATGACAGGCGTGGACCACCGTGCCTGCCCTCTGTACCCATTTAACCAAATGCAAAGGAGGTGCTATGGGTCTCCTGCCTGATTTGAAGCTGTACCTCCTGCCCAACGGGTCTACAGTGCCTTTGATGTGTGGGCCAGCAGAGGTCACAGGTGGTCAATAACTGCATATTTAGATTTGAGTAAAATTTGGCAACCATTGTTTCCAACCTAAAACACTGACACAGGCAGTTAAAGCAGGCCACATGCCAAGCAGGAGAACTCCCATGTTTCGAAAGAGCAGTGATTTCTCCTCACTGAGTGTCAGTAGCACAGTGACACTGGGGGAGGATGGGGAAGGAGGATCGCAAATTTGAGCCCAGCCTGAGATACTTAGCGAGACTCTGTCTCAAAATTTTAAAAATACACAAAAGCGGGTGCGGCCGTGGTTCAGGTGCAGCCCCACACCTTGGTGGGCTGGGTGTGTGGGCAGTGTGGCTCGGATACTGGACAGCAGCAAAGAATGTGCCCTCTCACCCTCAGAAGGGGCCTTCCCAGGTAAGCTTGGGTAGCTACCCACAGTTTTCAGTCTGTGCTTCCGCCCTGACCACTAAGCCACGAGCTGACTCACCCTGAACTCAGAGTGGGTTTCACTGGGTCGCAAGTGTCCTGTGCAGTTAGTTTTCATGGCTCCCCAGTGTTTAGCAGTTTCTCTTCTCGGCGAAATGTGAGACCTCAGCATCCCCGAGTCGGGGTCCTTGGATGAGGGGTGCAGTAGTTGAGTACAGCTTCATGCTAAGTTTCATTTTGTGTGGTCAGCTCAGCAGGACGTGCTGTGCCTTGGATTCATGGAAACAGTGACTAGAGCCTTTTTTTCTTTGTGGTGCTGGGGCTGAAACCTGGGGTGCAGCAGGCCTGAGAGCTGCCTGGCCCTGGGCATCATTCTGTACTCATAAGCACTAAGGACCTCAGAAGTCCTTACCCAGAACCCTAAGGACTCCAAGTTCTTGGCTTCTGACACAGCAGTCTTCATACAGAATTTTAAAACAAAGTAATAGGAGACTAACAATGATTAATATATTGCATATTGTTATCGGCAAAGTAGTTGCTCAGGTTACAAGATATAGGCTCTCAAAGTTGATCAAACAAAGCACAAACCATTCTTTTGGCAGAACTAACAGAGATCAGCAGTATAATTATCTATATCTCTTTCTTTTTTTTTCTCCTTTCCCTCATGTCAGTTGTTCTTTCCTTTTGAGTAGTTTCTTTCCCTTCCCCTTCCACAATATCTATTGCACATTTTGGATCTTTTTTACTCATTCCGCTTCTCACACTACATAGACATGATGTTTACACATGCGAGTCTGATTTATTTCATTATGAGTATGGTCTCAGTTTGCATCCATTTACCTATAAAAGCCTCAATGTGATCCTTCTTTGTGAATGAGTAATACTCCATTGTATAAAAATACCACACCTTTTTAATCTATTCCTCAGTTGATAGGCATTTTTGGATTGTTTTCACGATTTAGCTGTTACAAATTTTTTTGCTATAAACATGGGTGTACATATATCAATGTGGCATGATGTTTTCAGATCTTCTGGGAAGATATCCAGAAGGGGAATAGCTGGGTTGAGGAATCTCCATACTGGTTTCCACAGTGGTTGCCCCAGTCTACAGTCCCACCAGCAGTGGGGAAGGGTTCCTTTTCCCCTTCAGCTCCACCAGCATTTGTTATTGGTTGGTTTCTTGATGATAGCCATTCTTTCTAGGGTGAGATGGAATCTCAGTGTTGTTTTAATTTGCATCTCTTGAATAACCAGTGATGTTGAAGATTTTTCTCATATATTTATTTTCCACTTGTATTTCTTCATCTGAGAAGTGTGTATTTATCTCAGATGCCCATTTTTGGATTGGGTCTTTGTGAGATCTGACATTTTTAATTCTTTATATGTTCTAGGTAGAAGTCCTTTGTCTGACGGACAGTTGGCTAAATTTTTTTCCCATTCTGTGGGTTTTTACTCTGTTGGTGATTTCTTTTGATCTGAAAAAACTTTTTAAGAAGGTATGATCCCAGCTGATTCTGTAAAGTACTTCCTAAAGTTTGTCTTATTCATGAACTCTCTGCCTACTCCTGTCTTCAAGATTTTTACCTACTTTCTTTTTCAGTAGATTTAGTGTTTCTGTTTTAGTATTTAGATCTTTGACCATTTTGATTTTGGTTTAGTGCATTGTGGTGATAGGCATGGGTGTGGGTCTAGTTTTAGTCTTTGGAGAGACAGTTTTTCCAGAACCATGTATTAAAGAGGCTACCTTTCTTCCGGTAAACATGTGTGGCCCCTTTGTCAAGCCTAAGGTGGCTGAGTGTGTTTGGAGTTGTGTCTGCATCTTCTAATCTGTTCCACTGATCCTCAGGACTGTTTTTGTTTTGTTTTTTGCCCTTACCATTCTGATTCTATCATAGTAGCTTTTCAATCTCCTTTTTCAGAGTGCGTACTTTTCAATGTAGAGGTCTTTCACATCCTTTGTTAGGTTGATTCCTAGGTGTTTCATTTTTTGGATGCTGTCGTGGAGGTGTTGTTTCCCTGATTTCTCACTCGGCCTCACTTTGTTAGTCACCATTATCTTACCAGATCCATTTCTGGTCCCTTTTCCTTCCTTCTTTCAAGAGTGAGCCCAGCCTCAGTATGCAAAGCCTGCCAGGGTCTCCAGCTGTGCTGACTGTGGCCTGAGAGTCGGGATCTCAGCCCTGCTGGCCTGGTCATGTGCCCCGGCGTGCACTGTCTTTCAGCAGCATCTTTGTGCTGCTCTAACTCACTGTCCAGTATTCTCTGGGAAACGTTTGGTGTCGTGTGCCTCCAGGATTGCAGTGACAACGTAAATGTTGTAGCTAAGCCTGGTGACCCTTGCTTAGGGTGAACTGCGTCAGACTTTGTGCATCCATGTTTTCTGTCACTACTGAAGGTTTTCAGGTCTGCAG